GTCCATTGTCACAAAAGCCACTGAGGAGTTTAATAAAGTAGGAAAGGTAGAAAAAACATTTTTGTTCACTTCACATTCACTCTGGCACACACTTCTAAAGCGGTTTATCAACAGAAACATGGGAAATCTATACGGCATCATGGGATCAGAATAAGACAGCTTGGCCTCTGCTACCATAAGGATAGAAACCAAAAATGATGTCAATATCATACAAAACAGGTCACTGAAAGGAAGGGGTAATTAAAATATCAAGGTGTAGCCGGGCCTTTTCTTTTAATATCCTTTGACTAAGTAGACATGGAGCCTAATTAGTGCTTGATCAACCAATTCTGATGGTTACTCACCAGGTGATTTCATCTCTAGTAAGTCAGAACTAGTCACCAGTTTAGGCCTTGACTAAAACTGCAAACACAGAAATTACCAGAACTGTACAACTTGTGCATTACCACCAGCAACTATTGATACATAAGTCGCTCTAGATAAGGAGTCATGGGTTCATGGGAGAAGTGGGTTGGTTTTATTCTCACAGAAAGGTAGCTATAAAGATCTATGACCTGCACGATACCAAGTTCATTGCACCACACCATGTTTACCTTTGACAGTTCCTACTTTGGAGAAAAAAAGTATGTTAATTACATAGAGTTTACTTCTAATTTCTTATAAATGAAGACAGCCATATTCATGCAGCATATGGATCAGGCCTGGGGAAATCCTGGTTTTAGCACACATCTTGACTCATCCTATATCTTAGTTGTTAAAAAACACTTTAATAGCAGCTAGCAGGCTTCCATCCATTACAAAATTCAGGTTACTGATCTGGTTTAATTATACATGACTCCAAATGGAGGGGAATGGGGAAGGTGTGAAGAACACTGATTTTATGGTCCCTTCGTTAGGAAAGTACTTGGTTTTCCAATTTTCTCTTCATTGGCTTTAGGGCCCAGCCTCATCTAAAGATTGGTCTTCATCACCTTTTGTTTTACTGACTGTGCTCCACCAGATTCAAATGCATGGCCACTCCATGAAAAGATAAACGGATCAATGAGCCTTATGAATACTTTGAGTCAAGACCAGGGATTAGGGTTAGTCCTGAGTGGACAGATCTACCCTGAAAGTCCTAAAGGGCATAGAAAGTGTCCCAAGACACATGTATTCAAAAATTCATAAATTCTCTTCACTTAAAAAATAGTGGTAAAATACATATAACAAAAATTACCATTTTAACCATTAATTCAGTGGCATTAAGTCATTTACATTGTTGTGCAACCATTACTACCATCCTTCTCCAGAACTTTTTTGTCATCCCAAACTGAAATTCTGTACCCATTAAACAATAACTCTCTGTTACCTACTCTAGGTATCTCATATAAGTGGAATCACAGATAATCTGTCCTTTTCTTTCTGGCTTATTAGCAAAATGTTTTCGAGGTTCATCTATATTGTACCATGTATCAAATTTTCACTTCTTTTTAAAGCTAAGTAATATTCCTCTCTTTAGTGTTTGATAGTTATAAAAATCAATCTTTTGATGAAAGTTTCTTTATAACTTTCTCTATACCCACAATAAGAACTTTTTCTCTTTGGTCTAGATAGAGCTGTCATCTCTGTAACAGATGGCAGATTTCAGTAAAGAGTTGTTTGTACATATATGTATGTTTGTCTGGTGAGCAAATCGGCACAAATCAGACTATGTTTGCATGGTGCGAAGGCCAAGCAGAAAACTGTTTTGGCTGGGGAGGCCCAGCAGCAGGTGAAGGGTCTGATGGAAAGCAATCTATAACCAAGGTTGTGGATTCAGGTAAGGACTGGAAATGATCTTCTCTGGCCTCCTTTCACTCCTGCTACCGATATATAGATGCTCCACCCAAGCTGAGTCTTGTACTCATTTCTCTGCTCTTGAAATCTCAGGAACTCTTTGGATTTCACCTTTCAACTCTTGGCAAAAGACTTTTCAATCTTTCCCTAGCTCTGACTGCCCACTTAGCTGTAAGACTAATATCTCCAATAGCCTGCTCAAACCTCATCTGTCCGAAATTTAACTAATTCTCTT